AAAATCCAAGCAGTTTTAAAATGTTTTAGAAAACTACAGACAAATTACGAAATGGGATTTTAATTTCTAACGATTTGTATATTACCATAGCAACGAATAAAAAATAATAATATTATAAGAACTATGCTGATGTAGTATATTTATTTTTTAAGTACCTACATTAAATATTCTAAGAAAATGTATAGGAGTTGAGGAATAACATATTTTTTAAAAGTGACCTGATTAATTTTTAGTAGACATAATAGTTAATACTAAATTCAAATCACTTTCAAAAAGTATAATCACATAACAGTGTCCATTGAATTTCAATCCCCTTAAAGGCCGCACGTAACCTGTTTCAGAGCCAAAATCATGCATCAAAAGAAAAAATTCTCATGTCTCGTAAAGAAACACTTCCCATAGGACGCACATTGGACTTTTTCAAAATTCTATTTCAAAATAAAACTATAACTATAAATATCATATAATACGATTTTGAATATGACCAATTTTCACCAGCATTTGGTTTTTTTATTATTTTTGTTATAATCAACGAAATAAAAAATTGAAATCCAATGCGCCCTGTAAGAAACCATCCTGTTTGTAACAAAAAAAAAAATTATTTAAATCAGAGAAGTTTTCCCGAGAAATGTGTTTTAACTTAAAAGCAAATAATCACACTTTTCATACTTAGTCGGTGGTGCCGTTGACATGTGTGTATGAGCAGCGTATGCGTAAATAGCCAGGTGCTCAGGTTCACACTACACTCAGACTTAATCATAATTTATGACTTACACAAATGTCATTGGCGAATTGCATATTGCCTAAATATTGCCCCTTATTTTAAAGACACGAGCCTGTCACGTATAATATACCTATAATGTATAATGTATTATTATATTTTATATATTATTAATAGTGAATACTAATACCTACGATAAAACTAATTTAAGAAACTATTGTATCATTTATATGTAAATAAATATCTCATTTTTTTGTTGCAAGCTAATAACTATAGCAGCTAGTTGAAGCTGTACAAAAAAAAAAAAAAAAATACCTATGATAAAATATTTTCATATTTCATTGAATGAATAATTAATGTAAGAATGTAACAAAGTAACAAAGTAACAAAGTAAAAATTAACGTTAACAGTTAATTTAGGGTTAGTTATACCCATCCTCCTCCTCGACAAAGAACAATGCTGGTTACGCCACTGATAAGACTTATAGGTAGGTAATATTATATTATAATATAGGACTAGAAGTTCTAAAATCGTTTATCTATATAATAACAGCCAATTGTATCGGTGTATCGTTCTTATCTACATACTATTATTTATGATCAGAAAATGTTGAATGCAAAACAAAAAATAGAACTTACGGACTACTTCACCATAAATGCAGGACAGGTACCTACTTATCTATACAAATATAGGACAGTATAAATTAAATCAAAATGTTATCATTCACTTTCTGTCACAAGTTGGCCCCCGGTATCAAAGAAAAAATTGTAATAGACTATCATAATTTATTTTCTTATGTTATATACTTTATATTATTATATATAGTTAATCATTTATTGGACGGTTATTATTTTTATTCCCATTTTACGTGTACCAAAGTTTAATATTCTATAACAGTTGCCCATGTAAATGACTGCTTATAATTATCGCATTGGTTTCACTAAATTATTACAGGTTATTTCTTAATTGCCTTCAAAATATTATAATTTATCAGTAACGACTAACGAGTAACGCATCATTGGAAATAGTTGAATGTTTTCGTGTATAATATATTGTTTTGTACCGACTGGCAGTTGTACATTATATTATTTTATGGCGCATTCACAATACGCTATCTACTACCTAACAAATAATATACATTTTTTTTCTTCAGAAAGTCAAAAAGTAAATACAACTTTTCCTTTTATTTAAATATTATTATTGTATAATTAGATGGCTATCTATTTAAACAGTAAAGTTATTCGAGAGAAAATTTAAAACAATAGATGTCGTTGATCAATAATTACTAGCCTGTATAGTCTGTTAATATTTCTTTGGATATTTTTACCTGGAACGTTTAATAAATTTCAATTTAACTTCCGTAAGTATTCATATATTTTTACTTGCAACTTAATATTACTAGTTATAGCTTTTGTCGAGTAACACTGTTGTTTGTGACTTTTTATCTTTTGCAATTTGTATATGAAGTGAAAATATTGGAAATAGAACTTATCGGTGATGTTCATTTATAAATTTAATAACAACAAAATAAAATAAAAATGTAAAATATATGTTATAAAAATATATTAATTATATTACCTATTCGACTATAGCTTAAAATAAATATAACTAAATTAATTGTACATATTTGCAAGGTGTAACAGAATTTTTCATACTCAACGTATAAACTAGTATACATTTTTTATTTGTTAGGTATTTCTATTACACCTTCTATATTAAGTATATACGAACTGAATAAATATCTTAAAAATAGTAATATATAGGTATTATTAAAATTGTGTCTCTCTTCATATTATTATGTTATACCATTATCATTTATTATAAAAATAGTAAGTAATTACCTATTTATGATCAATGCTATTACTGTTGATTTTATAATATAGGTACTAATTATACATATAATAAATAATAATACATTTATAATATTTCAATATAAAGCTAAAAAATAAAAAAGTTATCTCTTTGTTTTAACGAATTCTCAACTAAAAAGTGTATCGAATATTCAACACAATATGATTTTAAGATTTTGGACCGATGGGTAGATAGTTAGGTAATTATATTAATTTATAATATTGATATTATGGTATAGGTAAGTTATTTACTACTACTTGAATTTAATAAAATATTAAAATTGACGGATTCATTTGAAACTTTAATTCATTATTCTTATTAACTAATTATGTATTATACATACAAATTAACGTGCAAATAACATAATTTATTATTTAATTTTAAACGAAAAAAAAGCCTAAAATCCTAACCGGTTTTGATAACTATTTAGGAAAGCTACCGCCGTCGGCCGTCGCGCGCTGTAGCATTATTAATGCAATATTATTTAGGTACAATAATTATCAAAACAAAATAACAATATTATATTTTCGACTGCAATTATAACGTAATAACCTCCATAGAATTTTGGACTTCCTATTAATCGTGATTCCTAATGGTCTTGTGGTTTATCTGTAGGTAAAGAAATATATAAAAAATAAAAAATATATATTTTGTCTATTTGGAAAATGTTATTACATTTAATAAATGTATAATATTATTTATAAAGTAAAATTTTAATATGTGTAAATAGGTAGGTATTAAATAAAATACGTACATCTCTGGTTCTATCTTTATAATAATTCTATATTTTACATTTTATGTATAACTATTTTTTTAATAATAAATATCCTAATTATAGCTAATGAATACTTTTAATGAAAGTATGAAACTGTTAAGCATAATATCAATTTTAAATGTGGTCACCTGTCAAATAGTAACAATAGCTATCTTATATACAAAACGTCATTCTACTTATATTTGTGACTTATGGATTCCTAATCCATTGAACTGATCTTGATAATATGTATATTTGGTGAACGTCATAGAAGGGCGAGTAACATTCGCTACTTTTCATCCCGGAATTCAACCACTAAATGTATTTTGTTTCGGTTCACAAAACCCAAATATTTGTTTGTTTGTATATAGAATTACCATATGGTTGCAGAAAATAAAATAGTTATCATGATTGGATATAATTTTTGTTGTTCATGGAATTGTGATACAAGTATTATAGTACACAAGTGGGGATTTATTTGCAAAAACCTTGCTTTTCTCGCGGTTAATTATATGTTTCCAATTCAAATATCTAGAGTAGGCACGCCTTAAATTTGTACGTACATTCTATTAAAAACTTGACTTCACACATCGTGTCATCGTTTACCGCACAGGTTTGAAAAATAGATAATTTTACAATTATCTACACTTACTATTGAATTTACTGTCGCTCAATACGTTCGATCCACAATCCATCACAAGTGGATTACCCAATACTGCTTGCACATTTTCCAAGATCGACGCAGTCAAATTGCCAATAATTTAGTGATTAAGTTGCACGTACATCGATTTTCACTTGAGGTGACTAACTTTCTAGACACTCAACATGGTTCTCGAATAAACCTATGTTCGCTAGATTTCGTTTATTTATACTTCCGTATTAATTTCATATCAGACTGGACCACAGAAAAGATTGGCCAGGTTCAGCTAGTTGATTATAAATAATATAGTAGCATTTATAATTGATTCTATAATCTATAACTAACACAAATTCTTAAGTTTAAAACACCCACGGATTCGTTCTAAATCATAATTCAATAATATTCAATAATATTGTAGGTATTCAATATTATTAAATATGTAACATATTAATATGTTATTGTTTATTAATTACTAATTACTATTATCAGTTAATATTTAAAATATCAATATGTTCTAAAATCATAATATAATATCATTGATGACATGCATTTTCAGTATATCGGTTTTTATTATTTTACAGTTGTATAATAATATTATGAATAAAATAATTTTTTATATTGCAAAAATCATGTTTTGATGTATTGGATGTTTGACAGAGAAAAAACTGGTGTATAGTATCCTGTAATTAATCAATAAACCCATGACGTAGAAAGAATTTAGTCTTCTAAAGAAAAAAAAAACACGTTGCTTATAACTTTAAAACTGGATTCAAGGATTTCAGGTTATTATTGAATATTTAAAATATTATAAAATGTACACATTATATTACTGTCGAGCTTATTGCTGATACGGAAACACAATTTGCAGCAAGTGGTTAGGATTTGAATGTGCATAAAAATGATTTTTTATACAAATATAAATTTTATTATTTGATAGGCAAATAAATATAATATTTTGTAAGTAAATTTTATTAGTGACTTTATCAAAACAGAATAAATATTTTTAATTTGTTATTGAATAAATTCCGTTAGTAATGGTAAGTAGATTGTCTAAAATGTGTATAATATAAATATTCAATAACTACCAATATAGTAGTAGCGTGTAATAGTTCAATAAATACATTTAAAAATAATTATAAAACAACTATATTATATCAAAGTAAAGATGATTTGATGACTTATTTTATAAATTAAACATACTTATAATAGTACAATAAAATTTAGTTATTTCAAAAAAAATCTTGACGTTTGAAATAGTTTCAAAAGTTTGTTAAAATACGTATCGTATTGTTTATTATCAACTATAATATTATTTGACCATGGTTTACAGAATTTTACCATGCATATTTTTGGTTTGATTTTGTTTGCTGGAATTGTTTCATCGTCTCCGAAAGGACAAATATCTATTACACAAACAACTACAGTGGTCGGCTTCTTGCCGTCTGAATTGCAGTCTTCGACAGAGATCAAGTTGACGACCATTTTGGAAACTTCAACCCTAAAGGATGAAAACAATTATGAAGATTGTATTTGTACACCTTTTCATAAGTGCAAAACCTATAAGGCATCTCCTGATGGCAACGAACTTATTGATATAAGGTAAGAGGCTAAATAATCATATTTTATTTTCTTAAATGATACAATATTCTTACTGTTGATACAATTATTCTTACTGTTTTTTTTGTAACATTTTGAATATTATATTGGCGATTTTATTTTATTTTATTTCAATTTATTTTTCTTTACAGTAATTTAAATTATGAAATACAAAATGCAGGCACGGTCGATAATTTGCTATGCTCAGTACACCTCTGTAATCTTTAAATATATGATATTATAAATGCTTCAGACTATCTTTAACAATATGTTGTCATATTTTCATACCTACACGGTTCCTATCACTCTGGAAAAGAATGGTGTAGGTACTTAAATGTTTTTGTATATTTCTTCCAATACTGAACATATTATATAGAATGCATTATCATGTATTTACAATATATTTTAACATATTTTATAAAAACAAAAGGTACTACCTAGTTAGTTTACCGTTGTAGTACTGTAGTTAGTTATAACTTGTCAGTTATGTCTCTTATATTCTGTACACCATATATTTTATCATAATATAAGATAAAAATTATTTTATTTTTATAATTAACTGCTTATTAAGGTATTATTTACGATATTATCTGTATCTTGTCTATGCCTATTATCAAAATGTATTTTTCATAAAAAAATTTCACCACCCCAAAAATATGTCCTATCTAAAATTAAACCAACACAAAAAATAAACAAAAATAAAAATAAATTATATCGTAGTATATCGGCGTATCTCGATATTAGATGTCATACAGACAATACATTTTAACTAATCGTTATACTGTTATAGTAATGTAAAAGTTGAAATTACATTTTTTCTATAACGCAATTTATATAATTATAGTCACCTAGTCGTGACCCGTGGTATAAAAATAAAGTGATCGATGTTTTCCATACATTTATTTAATAATCAAATGTGGGAAAGTTAATGAAAATAATTAACTGTGGCAATTTAAGTGAATTCAATTAAACGACCTTCAGTTAAATTAAAAGTTAACAACAAAAAAAAATTTAACTAGATAGGTTTAAAGTTGAGATAGAAAATAAATTTAACTTAACTCTGATACAATATTTTAATTCATAAACTGCCCTTTATTTTTATTTACACAAACATTTATCAAGACGTTTTATACTATGTAAAAAATTATATTTTTACGACAATAATAAGTAATTAGCTATAAAAAGTTAAGATACAACAATCTACATTTTAACTGAATAAGTTAGTATGTTACAAAGTTAAAAACAAAAATAATTAAGTAGTTAAGTTAAAAAGTAAAAAAAAATTACTTTTTAAAAAGTTAATGCCTACTTTTGTTCACATTAAAACTATACATGTAACAAAATTTTTATAATTCTGTAGTTTATAATTTCGGTCAGCCTTTATTTATGACAAAGTGCGTAAACGATTATATAATCAGTGAATGTACATTTCTCACAAACAACAGACATTTAAGGTATATTTCAAACACAAAAACGGATGACAGTTCAGTTAATATCGTGAGGCCATAAACAACATCCAATGTTGTAAAAATATGAACTTCAAACACTCATACAATTGGATTTGACTTTCATGTAGAACATTTTTTTTTTTTTGATTGAAGTTGACAAACTTATGAGGAATCTTGTATAACATTTTAAAATCTTAGATTTAAAAACAATTTTTTATGAATTTCTAACTTAAAACAATAAGCCAATTTTTGTCATGATTTTAAATAAGGTTTATATCATAAGTTTAATATTACTTAATATAATAATATGTAGTCCATACTGAAATATGTATAGGTACATTAAAAAAAGGATCACGCTGTACCAAGTATAATAATATACATATTATCTAGGTGTAAGAAGTATATCGATTGATTTCAAGATAATACGAATTTTAAAATGCAACATGTACGTTTAATTAAATAAACACACTGTACTAAGTACAGTAAAACCTCCTTATAACGGAATGTCGGAATCAACCTACGGAATAGGTACCAACTGATTTTTAAGGAATTTTCGTTGTAGGGAAACTAAAATATGTGAAATATAGGTTATAGAAACTGTAGTTGATTTCTGTTTTAAAAAGATTTCCGGAATTTAGGGGGTCCGTTATAAGGTTGTTTTACTGTGTATTATATATATATTCCACATTATATAATTGCTTATATTTTTAGTTAAATTTCCCAAAGGTAATGAAAGCCTATAAAATCAAGTTTCCTATATTGTGAGGAAGTAATAATAATTTAATAAATTATAATAACACTATTTTAATGTCTTAAAGTGCATAATATTTTTCAAATTTTTTTATTTATAAACAATAGTAAATTATTTATATTATCATAAATATAACATATTCATTACAATAAATGAAAGTCAATACATTTTTTTTTAATTTCTACATTTCAGGATAAACATAGCTCCGTGTCAAAGTTATTTGGACGTTTGTTGTAATGATACAAAAATTACTTCAACAGAAAAGTATCAGCCAAGTAGTCCAGATACCACAGACAGTAACTGCGGTTGTGTTAGCCCCGAAGATTATAATAAAGAGACAGATATTGACCATAAAGATATTACTAAAAATCCATCTGGCGGTCATTATGAAGAATATACTAAGAAACCATCCGATGGTTATAAAGGAGATTCTACTAAAGAACCACATGTTAGTCATAATGAAGAATATACAAAGAAGCCATCGGCCAGCCCAAAATATGAATATACTGAGAAGCCATACAACGTTCATAAAGTAGATCATACCAAAGAACCACATGTTAGCAATAATGAAGAATATACAAAGAAGCCATATGATGGCCCAAAAGATGAATATACTGAAAAGCCAAATGACGCTCATAAAGGAGATTATACTAAAGACCATCATGTTACCCATAATGAAGAATATACTAAGAAGCCATCAGATGGCCCAAAAGAAGAATTTACTGAAAAGCCACACGACGTTCATAAAGGAGATTATACTAAAGACCATCATGTTAGCCATAATGAAGAATATACAAAGAAGCCATATGATGGCCCAAAAGAAGAATATACTGAAAAACCATACGACATTCATAAAGAAGATTATACTAAAGACCATCATGTTAGCCATAATGAAGAATATACAAAGAAGCCATATGATGGCCCAAAAGAAGAATATACTGAAAAACCATATGACGTTCATAAAGGAGATTATACCAAAGAACCACATGTTAGCAATAATGAAGAATATACTAAGAAGCCGTATGGCGGTCAATCAGGGTACCTTACTACAGAACCAGATCATTCGTATGTAGTGACAGAAAAATCGATTACCACTGAACATATTAGTACGTCAGAACCCCTCTCTTACGATCACCAAGAACACCATAAATGTGGTGTTTGGAATAAATATGGAGTTGGTTTCAGAATTGGAAACGCAATGGATAGTGAATCTCAATTTGGCGAATTTCCCTCAATGGTGGCTATATTCAAAGAAGAATTATCGAAAGACGGCGAAAAAAAACTTGTGTTGCAATGCGGCGGTTCATTAATCAAAAAAGATGTCATCTTAACATCAGCTCATTGCGTGATTAAGTAATTTTTTACCTATAATTATTTATAATTATTTATACAGTTAATTAACGGCTTACTTCAAATAATTTTGAGTAGGATATTAAAACATTTTATTTAAGTTGTGTACACTTTTAGTAAATACTATTTTATTAATGACTTCTTTAGTATCTATTAATTATAATTATTTAAACACATATAATATTTTGTGATATTTCAGTTCATGTATTAAAATTAGCAGTGATATTAAACGATTATTAAGAAATCCTTAGTATTTTTGTAACAAGAATTACTTATCACCTCTATTATATTATATTAGAAAATTGTAAATGTTTTCAAAAATTGATGTTTTAATATGAGTTTTTTTTTTAGGAAAGAAATCTCAACTTTGGTCGTTCGTGCAGGTGAATGGGACCTAAAAACAGAAAAAGAAATACTTAACCACCAAGATCGTAGAGTAACAAAAGTGGTTACTCATCCTGATTATTACTCAGGAGGACTTTATAATGATATCGCTTTAATTTTCACCGAACATTCGTTTTCTTTACAAGATAACATCCAACTTATATGCTTACCTTCAAAAGATGATATTATTATTAAAGATACTTGTTACTCAAGTGGTTGGGGTAAAACTGTATCTTACAATAACTATACTATTGTTAAGAAAACTGAATCGGGAAAAACTAGTATGTAGATAAACTTGATAAAAAATATAACAATAATAAATGTAATGCTTTATTTTGTAGAAGAAACTGGTCAATACCAAGTCAGTATATTGAAAAAGGTTGAACTTCCAATTGTTCCAGTGGATAAATGCATGGCCGCTCTTAGAGCCACTAGACTTGGACCAAAATTTGTATTGCACGATAGTTTCATATGTGCCGGTGGTATAGAAGGGAGAGATACGTGTAAAGTAAGATAACATTTAATTAATTTAGATACATATATATATATATATTGTATAGTTAGTTGAACCGATACAACCTAATAATATATATATATACTTATTTACACTACACTTAAGTTTAAATTTAAAATTATGCATTTTAAGTAATAGGTAGTGGACAGTTGATAAGTATAATATTACATTAAAACGTATCATGATATTCTTCTAATTATCTTCATAAACTCTTCATAAAATCTTAGAACTAAAAAGTGATTATAATATCATTGTACCTATATGTATTTAAAAGTACAGTGAATCAACCTTACTACCTATAATTTCACAAATAACAATATTTTAGATATAATATAGTTTTATATTTATTTTGAAACCATTGACTAGCTTTCCTCAGCATGTTCTTTTGACTGCAATAATTATATCATTGAACATATTATTTAAATAAAATTATGTTTTTATTATATATTTTGCCATTTAATTGTTATTAATATTAAATATGTAATAAAACACTTGCATTCCAAAAACTATGACTATAATAATATAATAAATATATTTGCACTGACTAACTGAAAAATACCTATATTGTCTGTAGGGCGATGGCGGCAGTCCATTATGGTGCCCGTACAAAGATGAGCCAGATCGTTTAGTTCAAGTTGGTATCGTGGCTTGGGGTATCGGTTGCGGTTTGGCAGATGTACCCGCGGCCTATGTTAACGTTGCCGGTTTTATGCATTGGATTAATAACGAAATAGAAAATAGAGGATATTGAACATTTCTGTTTTCAGATCGTGTGTATGCATTTTATATTTTTTATATCAGATCTATTCAGATTTTATACATATATTATTGATAGTTTATCTATCATAACAATAATAACTTTAAATTAGAGATACCATTATTTCCATGCAACTATAATAATTGGTTTTCTTTGTAGTACATAATTTTTGAAATTTCCAGAACCTATGTAACTATATTTATAATTTTATTTACAACATTATGTTATAATTACATTTTTAATGTTTAAATGTTGAATTATTACACAGCATACTTATGCAAAATATATTTTATTATTAAATGCTTGCTTATATAATTTATATTATTCAGCATAATATAATTTTGTTGTTGATATTTTTTTAGTATTTTAACTAATATTGTGCAATCTATATTTATTCAATTATCTCAATATTCTCAAGTATTGCAATCAACGGTCAAGCATGCAATTATTTTTGATTCAAAAGCTAAATATATATATATATAATTTATTACTCACTTTCATGTATTTACTAGAAAATACTAAATAGAACCATGAATTTGATGTAAGTGTTTGGATACAATATTGAATTTTCCTGTACAATAATATGTGGCATATCATAATTTGATAACCGTAACCAGGATCATGACAATGGTGGAGTTTAATTAAATTAAAGAAAAGAGTACATATTTATCATATACTTAAAAATGTAAGTTAATTATAGAAAAGTCTTGTTTTCAAAAGATATAAATTATAATTATTACAAGCTTTTCCATCTTAGACAGCTGGAATTATAGTACCGGGTAGGTTAAATAACATTTATCAATTTATCAGTTTAATATTCAATTCAGTATTAAAATATAGATTTATATTTTCTAGTTTTAGTTTTTACACATAGATTATACTTACAATAACGTATTTATTAATACAAATTACCAAAATTAAACTTGCCAAATCGCTCAGCTATATTAGGTATCAATCATACCTGTTAGTTGAGAACTTCACTGTAACAGTCCACTGAGGACTGAATTTCATGATAAATCATCGCATTTAAACAAAAAATGATTAAAATTAGATACCTATATTTCTAAGGATGTTCAATTATATATTTATATTGTTAATGGTAATTTATTTTTATTTCAGTAATACGATAAGTTTAACTACTTTTTCTAAAAACAAATCTAATTTATAAATTAGTTATATAATGCGATTTATAACACTATTTCATATTATAATAAAACTAGGTATTAATAAAATACATAAGTACCTAGTACCTACATCACATTACATTGTTTTATATTTAAACACAAAAACTCTTAAAAATTCAACACTTAATAAGTTTGACTTGGGAGGGGGGTAATTGTCCACTTTTGATGGCCATCCCTAAATATTACAATACAACTAAATTTAGGTACACTTAATTATTTGAAATTGCATACTTTGCATAATAAATCAAAGATTAATAATGAAAGAATTCGTATATTTTTATTTATTAATGGTTTTATTTATTTTGGTTGTAGATACTGTGGAAGTAAGAATACTTACTGCCATGCATTTTTTATTTATAGTTTATTAACTATCTCGTAATACTATTTTTTTAATCTGTAATCAAAACCTACCCTAATCCATATTTAGGTATTATTAAGGTCTAAAATCTAAGTTAGCATAACATAATTTAAGTGTAGTATTTAATGTTTATTAACGCATATTTATAACTAGTTATTTTAGTTAAAAAAAAAGTAAGATTAGCGTAGTAATAATATAACCTATAACATAGTGTAGCAGTAATATTTGATTATTTAGATACATTTGTGTGTCAATCAGTACCTTATAACGTGCGGTTGTAGAGTCGAGTTTATATTAGTAATTTCACTGTATTATAATATTTAATCATAAATGGTAATACTAAAATTCAATACAAGGCTAGGCTCCTGATATATTGTTACAATATTAGTTGAAAAATATGAAAAATATATCGTCTCAATTTTTTTTTAGTATAGTTAATTCTGTAACCAAAAAATCTAAAAAAAAATACATAAACACAGTTATAAATGTTATAATATCATTGAATATGTTTTATATTTATAGTGAATCGACCTACTTTTAACTAGTTAGTTTTAAAAACGAAAATATTTTTGATGAAATATTGTTTTATATTTATTTTAAAACTATTGACTAGCTTTATACACAGGGTATTTTTTTGACTGATTAATTGAACATATTTAAATAATTACATGTTTTTATAATATATTTTTATATTTACATGTTATTAATAATAACGTTGTAATAAAACTCTTGCATTCTAAGAAGTAAGAACTATGGCAAAAAATTTAAAATATTTTTACTTACTAACTTAATATAACCTATTTTTTGTGTAGTTACAATATAAAGGTAATCCATTAATGTGCCCGTACAAAGATGAGCCAAATCGTTTAGTTCATGTTGGTATCTTGGTTGGGACCGGGTGGTTTAGTCAACTACGATGCTAAAGATTTACCTCAGCTATATATTGATGTTGCCAGTATCATGAATTGGATTAGTTACGAGATAGAAAATAGGGAATAATGAAAAATCTGTTGTCAGATATTGTGTTTGAATTGTATTAAAGGTACTTACATTACTAAAATGTTGAAGTGGAATTTTTGTATGGAAATATTAATTTTTTTATATCAGGACTATTTAGATTGTATATGATCGTACACATTCATTATTGGTAGTTTAGGTATCATAGTTTTGATAACTTCAAACTAAAGAAACTATCATTACAGAGCAACGATAATTAGATGGAATATATTATGTACTGACATATTTAGTAAGTAGGTACCTATATTTATCATTTTTATTTTCAAAATAGTAATTTGTATGACTGTATATTATATTTACATTTTAGATTCTGAGTGAAACGATGAATGTATTGATTTTACAATGATGTGTGTTTTTATATTTATTTTTTTATTTTTTTATTTTTTTTGTGTCTGTGTACACGATAAGTAGTCGAAATAATGCTTCGATTTTTGACTTCAGTATCTTGTTCGATTGGAAAGTGAATATCGTTGGTGCATTGGGGAGGTCAAAATTTAAATTTCCCAGTAGTTTTCTCAAGCGCCGGGAAAAACAACATAAAAATTAAGGAAAAACGGGAATTTTTACGCAAAATTGATTTTCCAAAAAATCGATTTTGGTTATTGGTGTAACTCTAAAACAAATGAACGTATATACATGAAATTTTCACTGGTTGTTTATATTTGCATTTTCTATACACGATAACATTTTCAAAATATTTTGATTTATTTTGAACTGTTTAGGGACATTTTCATTTTCCATTTTTTTTTTAGTTTTTTTTCTAAAAATATCAATAAAATTTTATTTGTTGGTTGCGAAAGCTTGAAAATTTAATAGAAGGCTCCTAATATATTGTTTCAAAGGCAGATGAAAAATATTAAAAATCCTTAGTCACAATTTTTTTTATAAGCATTTAAAGTTCAAAAATTGACAAAATATGGAAAAATCACGAAAATTAGCAAATTATTTTGAGTTAAGAATTCGTAAAAATTTTTCTTTTTAAATCTAAGATTTGAAAATCTAATACAAGATTACTCATAAGATTGTCTACCTTTATCAATAAAAAAATTTCTACCGGAAAGTCAAATTAAATTTTTATGAGCGTTTGAAATTCAAATTTTTACAACATTGGATATTCACTCGATTTCTCATGTGGCAATTTCCTTTTTTTGTTGTAATTAAAAAACGAATTACTGTAGATACATGAAAATTTCACTGAATGTTTATATTAGCATTTCCTATACACCCTACAATTTTGAAAATATTTTGACACTTTTTGAGCCGTTTACGGACATTTTCATTTTTAAATTTTTTTAGTTTTTTTTTTCTATAAATATCAATTAAGTTTTATCTGTTGGGCCAAAAAGTGTAAAAATTTAATACAAGGCTCCTGATATATTGTTACAATATCAGTTGAAAAATATTAAAAATACATAGGCACAATTTTTTTTTATAAGCATTTAAACATCGAATTTTGACAGAATTTTTCAAAATCTCGAAATTTATTAATCATCGTAATTAATAAATTATAAAATGTTCAGTTTTTATAGCTAAGGATTGAAAATTTAAAACAAGATTCCACGTAAGTAGTTAATTCTCTTACCGAAAAATCTAAAAAATATACAATCACAGTTTATTTTTATAGTCATTTTATGTTCAAATTTGGACGAAATTACATATTAAAAAACCTAGTTATTTTGTTGTGATTATATAATATTATTCGTGGGTACCTACTTGAAACTTCTAAAGTGTACTATTATATATCTATGATAGTATCAGGGTTTGTTATTGATGTTGATGTATAACGTGTTATAAGTACCTAATGGATATTGTGATAATGTGATATGATTAATTTGGAATTTATTACAGGTCAATTTTTTTTTTTAATACCATAGATATGTATATAATTTGTCTTAAACCTAGACTGACCTACCGTCTTCGCTCAGAATCGTTTTTCTTATACAATGATATTGTATCATTGAATTCAAATTTAATTGCATCCATTATACAGTGACCCACTTGTAACCTACTGTACAGCAGAGCGACATCCACTTACCCACCTTTTTAATATTTAAATTGACTATATTATAGTACCATAAACGAAATCATACTCAACAAATATATGTTACCAATAACGAAGAAGATACGGAGAAGCCATCCGTCATTCATAAAGGAGATCATTCTAAAGACCCAGTTATTTCGTATGAGTATTGACAGAGAAATCGATTACTGATGAATTTATTAGTACAACAGAATCCGATAAATCCGTTGATGATCATCAAGAACACCATAAATGTGGGGTTTGGAATAAATATGGAGTTGGTTTCCGAATTGGTAATGCAATGGATAGTGAAACCCAATTTGGCGAATTTCCATCAATGGTTGCTATATTCAAAGAAGAATTATCGGAAGGCTGTAAAAAAAAGCTTGTGTTTCGTTGCAGTGGTTCATTAATCAAAAAAAATGTGATTTTAACAGTAGCTCATTGCGTTGTTTGGTAATTTTTTTAATTTATTTATCTATACAGTTAAATTACATTTACTTGTTAAAAACATTTTATTTATGTTGTATACCTACACTTTTAATGTACCTATACTATATACTATAATATAAATAATTATTATTTTAGTATTAATTACTAAGTATATGGTGACATAATTATTCGTGTAGGAATAATCTAGCTGAGATCGTATACGATTATTATGAAATACATACTATTTTTGTAACATGAATTGCTGGATAAAATACTATCAAGTTATAATAATTGTATGTTTTAATAAAAGATTTTATTTTAGGTTAGATATCTCAACATTGATCGTTCGTGCAGGTGAATGGGATTTAGAAACAGATAAAGAAATACTTAACCACCAAGATCGTAGGGTAACAAAAGTTCTTCATCCTATTAATTACAAAGGAGATTTTTATAATGACTTTGCTTTAGTTTTCACCAAATATTCCTTTTCGTTACAAGATAACATCCAACTCATATGCTTACCTTCGGAAGATGATATCATTATAAAAGATAAATGTTACACAAGTGGTTGGTCTAAAACTGTTTCTTACAATAAATATACTATTGTTAAGGAAACAGAATCAGGAAAAACTAGTATGTAGACAAATTTGATAAAAATAATAACAATATTTAATGGTGTGTTTTAATTTATAGAAGAAACTGGCCAGTATAAAGTCAGTATATTAAAAAAGTATGGACTTACAATGATTCCTCAGAAAAAATGCTCAATCCCTTTAAATGGACCACAATTTGTATTGCATGATAGTTACATATGTGTCGATGGTATAAAAGACATGTGTAGAGTAAGATAACATTTAAACATTTATTTACTTTAAATTGTGACCGAAGTTGGTAAATAGGGAATATAAATATTTTTGGTGATTTTTAGTAAGTTTAACCTTTACAAAATAATATAAATGTATGTACACTAAATTAGGCATTTCAAAATAATAAGGACTGGAGAGTTGATAAGCATAATTTTTCATAACAACATATACTATTTTTTTAGTTATCTACATAAACTCTTCACAAAGTCTTAGAACTAATAAGTTATTTTAATAATAATAGAAATATAATATTGCTGTATATGTGTTTAAAAGTTTAGTGAAATACCCCTGTGAACATGGCAGCACAACATTAGCAGACATCGATCCAATCAATCCAACAAATTTGTTGGTGGATTGTTGGACATTGTTGGACAACTTTCAGAATTTGTTGGACATTATTTTCACCAGGGGGCCAATTTCCAACTTTGCGCTGCCAAGTTCACGACAGCAGCGCAACTCATTGTTGGGACATGTTTTTTGTGCTAGACTTGTTCGTCTCCATTTGTTGGACATTGTTGGACAACTTTCAGAATTTGTTGGACATTATTTTCACCGGGGGGCCAATTTCCAATTTTGCGCTGCCAAGTTCACGACAGCAGCGCAACTCATTGTTGGGACATGTTTTTTGTGCTAGACTTGTTCGTCTCCATTTGTTGGACACTGTTGGACAACTTTCAGAATTTGTTGGACATTATTTTCACCGGGGGGCCAATTTCCAATTTTGCGCTGCCAAGTTCACGACAGCAGCGCAACTCATTGTTGGGACATGTTTTTTGTGCTAGACTTGTTCGTCTCCATTTGTTGGACACTGTTGGACAACTTTCAGAATTTGTTGGACATTATTTTCACCGGGGGGCCAATTTCCAATTTTGCGCTGCCAAGTTCACGACAGCAGCGCAACTCATTGTTGGGACATGTTTTTGGTGCTAGACTTGTTCGTCTCCATTTGTTGGACACTGTTGGACAACTTTCAGAATTTGTTGGACATTATTTTCACCGGGGGGCCAATTTCCAATTTTGCGCTGCCAAGTTCACGACAGCAGCGCAACTCATTGTTGGGACATGTTTTTTGTGCTAGACTTGTTCGTCTCCATTTGTTGGACACTGTTGGACAACTTTCAGAATTTGTTGGACATTATTTTCACCGGGGGGCCAATTTCCAATTTTGCGCTGCCAAGTTCACGACAGCAGCGCAACTCATTGTTGGGACATGTTTTTGGTGCTAGACTTGTTCGTCTCCATTTGTTGGACACTGTTGGACAACTTTCAGAATTTGTTGGACATTATTTTCACCGGGGGGCCAATTTCCAATTTTACGCAACTCATTGTTGGGACATGTTTTTTGGTTCTACAAAGGTACATCCAAAAATGGATCATGTTAGGATTTTTACATTATGTTGTAAGTAATGTATTATGCCATTATGGAATAATAAACTGTTATCATCATAGACTTATGGTTATTATTCTATTGTAGATATTCCTATACTATTATATTATTCTACAAGTCTATGGTAATCATTAGTTAGTTGATTGTTTTCATTAAACCCCTTTGTCAATACTTCATTTTGTAGTACCTATATCATATAAGATAAATTACCGTATACCTACCTATGCGAAATGGATACAATTTTTCTATCAGAAATTTACAATGGTGGACAAGTTAATGATTTTTCTTAACTCAGTTAAGTTTAAAGTAAATACACACAACTTTTTATTAAGTTAAAAAAGTTAATTTGTTTACACAATGCTAGCGTACTTAATTTTTTCCAACCCAAAACTAAACTTGTTTGTATACCTTATACGGTATTTTCATACAAGTTAAATTCAAATGATATACATTTTTAATTTTAAACAATTCATGGTAAATATTTTTTGACATGAAAACGAAATAGTCTGAAATAGTGAAATATAATAAAATAAAAAACAAAATAAATTAACTTAACTTACTTCTTAAAATGAAAAATTAATTCGTAAATTTCACGTTAATTAAAAAATAAAATTAGGAAGTTAACAGTTAAGTTAATAAAAATCCAAAAGTAATTAGTTAAGTTAAAAAGTTTAAATTAAACTAACTTTTTAACTTAACTTCAACTTTTTAACTCGTTAATACCCAGCCTTGGAAACGTATAGGTTTTTCAACGCTACTCCGACCACCAGAAATATGGTGGAATGAGAAAATGTATTAAACATTTGTGACATTAAAAACGAAATGAGTATTCGTATTTTTGCGACATGTCTACAAACATCTTTAATTAAGGATAAACACCATGAAATGAATGGTAATCTAAATTTTAAAAATTCTTCGGATTTATTTGGTCTCCTTGACAATCACTTTCACGATCGATTTCCATACTTAGTAATTCGATAAGTTTTCATTACAATATACACATAATATTAAAAATAGATAGTTTTATTAATAAAGTCAAGTAGAGGTACTTAATATTCTTAACTAAACAGTAAACACAAGAACTTAGAAGAATTGTTTATGATTTATAATAATATTCGAACAAACATGCCCAGTTGCATTAGTTAAAATGTATACCACCAGAGTGCGTGTCATACCTTGGCGATTCCCAATAGAATTTCACGAATTTTGAGATCAACTCCTATTGAGTATTCACCATTGCGAATAATGCAACACTCTTAAACTATAAAAATAATAATATCATAAAATACGCGCGACCCAATGTTCGAGTTGGTGGAGAGCAATTAATCATAGGTTATGAAGGAGATAAAGATCATATTATTGTCCTTTCAATCACACCATTCGGTGAATTTTTGCCAGGGCTTGAAACCGATTGAAATAATTTCGGTTTCGGTTTCGGTTTTGAATACCGGTTTCTAAATTTTTCGGTTTCAACTTAGCAATACCGGTTAGGTTAGATATACCGGTATCAAGAAATTTCGGTTTCGGTTTTGTTTACCGGTTATTAAATTTTTATAAACGGATTTCCAAGCAAAGACTTGAAATTATAATTGAATGGTTTTATACTACTGCGTATTAATGGAATTCGAGTATTTAAAAACACGTCAATTGAAAAAAAAAGTACAGTTTCCAATTTTTTTAGATGTCGGTTTTGACTTTGATACCGGTATCCAATTTTTTTCGGTTTCGTTATTGTTTACAGTTTCGGTTTCTGTTTTAAAACGATTTATACTGGTTTCTGAAATCGGTTTTGAAAACGGTTTCAAGCCCTGAATTTCGTGTTACCGAATGCATAAGAAAAAGAATACGAATTATTTTAATTTAGAGTTATTTAAAAACTTTTCTTTATACCATTTTTAGATTCTGAGTGGAACGATGAATGTATTGATTTTACAATGATGTGTGTTTTTTTTATTTTTTTATTAGTTTTTATTTTTTTTATTTATTATTGTGCCCGTGTACACGATAAGTAGTCGAAATAATGCTTCGATTTTCAACTTCAGTATCTTGTTCGATTCGAAAGTGAATATCTTTGGTGCATTGGGGAGGTAAAAATTCCCAATAGTTTTCACAAGCGCCGGGAAAAACAACATAAAAATTAAGGAAAAACGGGAATTTTTACGCAAAATTGAATTTGGTTTTTGGTGTAACTTTAAAACAAATGACAGTAGGAACATGAAATTTTGACTGGTTGTTTATATTTGCCCTTTCTATACACGATAACATTTTCAAAATATTTGATTTATTTTGAACTGTTTAGGGACATTTTCATTTTACATTTTTTTTTAGTTTTTTTTCTAAAAATATCAATAAAATTTTATTTGTTGGGTAAAAAAGCTTGAAAATTTTATAGAAGGCTCCTAGTATATTGTTTCAAAAGTAGATGAAAAATATTAAAAATCCTTAATCCTTTTAATACTTCCATAGATCAATATATAATAAGTATTATACCTAGACTGACAGACCTTCTCCGCTCAGAATCGTTTTTCTTATACAATGATATTATATCATTGAATTCAAAATTAATACCAACTATTATACAGTGACCCACTTGTAACTTACTATACAGCAGAGTGACATCCACTTGCCCACCTTTTTTATTTTATATTTAAAAATTTTTTAAAATATTTTTATTATATTAAATCATTTATTAAATATTCAAAGAATTATTTAAATATTTTACTTTTATTTATTTTTTATTTTATACTCAGTGTTAGGTATTTAAAAACTTTTTTATTTAATTTTTTTTAATTTTATATATATTTTTTAATTTTATTAAAAAAATAATAACAAGATATTCATAATTTAGTTCAATAAATGGTCAACTAGAGTCTCCACTCTCAAGGCCAAGAGCGTTTCATTTTTCTTTGAGGATTGTCCGGTTTACACGGAAGGACAGTCTTTTTACTAATGGGTTAGTGTGATGGGTTAGTTTTCAGTGAAATAATAGGTAGCGGGATTTTTGTGAATGTGTAGGTACTTTTAGGTCGTTGTGAAGATTGGCATATACACAAAATGAGCAACTTTTTTTTATGATTCTGCAGTGGGAATTTTGATATGGATTATGTAACATTGTAACATAGTGCTAACTGAAAAGATACTTAACAAAATACCACGACTCTGAAAAAAGTATTAATTCATACTTGAGACGCACACCATTCCATAATGGCATAATACATTACTTACAACATAATGTAAAAATCCTAACATGATCCATTTTTGGATGTACCTTTGTAGAACCAAAAAACATGTCCCAACAATGAGTTGCGTAAAATTGGAAATTGGCCCCCCGGTGAAAATAATGTCCAACAAATTCTGAAAGTTGTCCAACAGTGTCCAACAAATGGAGACGAACAAGTCTAGCACCAAAAACATGTCCCAACAATGAGTTGCGCTGCTGTCGTGAACTTGGCAGCGCAAAATTGGAAATTGGCCCCCCGGTGAAAATAATGTCCAACAAATTCTGAAAGTTGTCCAACAGTGTCCAACAAATGGAGACGAACAAGTCTAGCACAAAAAACATGTCCCAACAATGAGTTGCGCTGCTGTCGTGAACTTGGCAGCGCAAAATTGGAAATTGGCCCCCCGGTGAAAATAATGTCCAACAAATTCTGAAAGTTGTCCAACAGTGTCCAACAAATGGAGACGAACAAGTCTAGCACAAAAAACATGTCCCAACAATGAGTTGCGCTGCTGTCGTGAACTTGGCAGCGCAAAATTGGAAATTGGCCCCCCGGTGAAAATAATGTCCAACAAATTCTGAAAGTTGTCCAACAGTGTCCAACAAATGGAGACGAACAAGTCTAGCACAAAAAACATGTCCCAGCAATGAGTTGCGCTGCTGGCGTGAACTTGGCAGCGCAACTAGAATTTTTTATTCCGGTGAAAATAATATCCAACTAATTCTGAAAGTTGTCCAACAGTGTCCAACAAATGGAGACGAACAAGTCTAGCACAAAAAACATGTCCCAACAATGAGTTGCGCTGCTGTCGTGAACTTGGCAGCGCAAAGTTGGAAATTGGCCCCCTGGTGAAAATAATGTCCAACAAATTCTGAAAGTTGTCCAACAATGTCCAACAATCCACCAACAAATTTGTTGGATTGATTGGATCGATGTCTGCTAATGTTGTGCTGCCATGTTCACAGAGGTTAGTGAAATACCCACTGTTAAGTTTAACATATGTTTTCACAAATTAGAATATTTTTACATTTATTTTGAAGCTATTTACTAGCTTTATTCAGGATGTTTTTTTACAGTTATAAATTCGTAATTGAACATATTAAATAGTATTATGTTTTTATAATATATTTTGACATTAATATGTTATTAATAACGTTATAATAAAACTCTTTAATGCCAACAAATGTTATTATGACAGTTATAAAATAAATATTATATTTTAAAATATTTTGACTAACCAACTTATGAATACCTATGGGCTATGATATGTGTAGAACGATTTTAGCAGTCCATGCACTTTTGCATGCCCAGAACATGTCAAAGAAATCTTTTGACTAACTTAAGAATATCTATGTTTGTGTAGAACGATAACGGCAGTCCATATATGTGTCCATACAAAGATGACCCAGATCGTTTAGTACAAGTTGGTATCGTTGTCCATTGCGGTAAGGCAAACACACCAGGGACTTATATTAACGTCGTCAGTTTCATGCCATGGATTAAGAATACAATATACAATAGACCATATTGAACATTTCTGTTTTAAAATATTGTGTATGAATTGTATTGAAGGTAGGTACTTACATTACTAATATGTTGAAATGGAATTTTCTATGAAAATATTTTCTTTTTTATATAACTTCTATTTAGATTTTAAGAGATTTTAGAAAATTCATTGTTGTTAAATTAAATAAATCATCATTACTCTGAAACGATAATTGGTTTTTGTATATTATGTATTGACAAATTAAGAAGGTACCTATATTTATAATTTTATTTTCAATATTGTAATTGTTATAATATATTTACATTTTAGATTCTGAGTGGGCGATGAGTATATTAATTTTACAATGACTTGTGTGTGTGTAGCTTTTCGGGGAATGACATTTCTTCAATTATCTTCAACAGAATATTTCCTGATACAAAAGTGAATCTATTTAGTACTTTGGGGTCTAAATAGTTTTCAAATGCGTCAGGATAAACAAACCAAAAATTAAGAAAAAAAATCTGCAAAAATCAAGAAAATTTGCAATTTATTTTGAGTTAGAAATTCACAAAAAAGTTTTTTTTTTATACATTTTTAAGATGCGAAAGTATAATAAATGATTCTTCATAAGTTTGTCTACCTTTATCAAAAAAAAATTGTTTCCAGAAAGTAATAAATGAAATTTTCTTCTACAAAATCAATTTTGGTTTTTGGTGTGACTTTAAAAAATATTACATACTGTAGATGTATTATAGTCAGTACATTTTTATATTAGCATTATACACAAGTTCGATACCTTTATCAAAAAAGAAAATGTCTGACTTAAAGTCAAATGAAATTATTATGAGGGTTTGAAGTTCAAACTTATACAATATTACATATTCACTAGATTTCTCAAAGAGCAATTTACTTATTTTGTTGTAATTCAAAACGAATAACTATAAATACGTGAAATTTACACCATATGTATATTCTATGATTAATTTCTATAATTGATAACATTTTCACAATATTTCGACTTGTTTGAGCTGTTTACGGACATTTTCAATTTTTTCAATTTTTTTATATCAATAAATTTATATTTGTTGGATCAAAATGCTTGAAAATATAATAAAAAACCTTCTGAAATATTGTTAAAACAGCAGTTGAAAAATATTAAAAATAGATGTGTACGATTTTGTATTATAATCAATTAAAGTTCAAATTTCAACAAAATGTATCAAATTAAAAAATTATTTCGTAGTTAAAAATGTATAAAATCTTTAACTTTTATAGATAAAGATTGGAAATTTAAAACAAGGTTCCACGTAAGCAGTTAATTATGTAACCAAAAGCTATAATCTTTGTATAGTTATTTTAAGTACATATTTGGACAAAATTACATATTAAATACATAACTCAGAATAACTTTATTAGTTATTTTCTTGTAATTTAAAAATATTATTTGTGGGTACTTGAAACTTCTTATGTGTATTACTATATACATATATGCAAATAATATTAGTCCAACTTACCGTATCAGTAAATAATATTAATTTAATATTAACTATAAAGTATCATAGGGTGACAACTATGCAATCCACGGTCCTCGTTAACATAATAATACATCTTACGATTTTGTTGAAATATTGTTTTACTACGACTTACAAGTTACAAGCCATATCGATGTATTTGGTATATTTTTATATACATGGTCTAAAGTGACAGATAATATTATGAATATACATAGATGGAGAGTGCCGGTACAAACCATAATATTCTACTCTCCGTCAGCTCAAATGTGAATGGAAGATGTCCTCTTGATGTTCTCACTTAACAATAATACTTAATTTAAAAACATTTAGCTCTCGTATTTATTTTATCATCTGGACTGCATTTACTATTTATTATTACTACTAGTATTAATTAGTATTAGTAGTTGTTATATCAATAATATAAACATCATAATTCGATTTTCATATATTAAAATTCTCATAAACATATTCTGCTTCCGAAAATGAATGATTACTGTTTAAATAGAAGGTGTATATTATATTTATTAAGTTAACACAGTATAATTAAATACTACTTGCATTAAGTTGAATAGTATTTTAATTTCGTTTTACAAGTAGTACAAGTATTAGTACTTCTAATGTTTCCAAGTTAACATATTTTTTTGCTTTGATTTTTTGGACGGCGCAATGAGTAGGCAGTATAGTAACATTACTGTGTAGAAAATATTTGTATGCATCAAATAATTCAAAAAAAAAAACACCAGCTAAATAAAATAGGTAGGTACACATAATTAATTAGATGCCTTATTTATGTTATTCAATAATTATTATACAAACTAAAATGTGGATAATTTGGGTTACAGATTCCTCTGACAAAACCATATTAAGAATCAAGAAGACTCATAGTAGTTGACATTTTCAATAAACATAGTTATGCGTATATTATTTTGTTGAATATTATTTTAAAATATTGGTAGGTATCAAGCATTGTTACTTTTTTTATTTATATTAACATTTATCAATACAATCTTATTATTTTTATTGTTTTGGATAATTAATATTTAAAATGAATTAAATATTCAAAGTCAATGATTGTTATTACTATAATTAAATCGTTCACATACTAAAAAAAAATACTTTGTAAATAATAATATTTTACAATTGAAATTTGAATGTGGTATTGTATCAACATATTATGGTTGGACGTTTCAATGTTTCGATAGTACCTACTATAATATTTAAATATTTCATAAAAAGTAGTTTTCGTTCGGTTGCCATTATAATAACATTCAAAAACGAAAAAACCCAAGCACTAACAAATTAACTGTTGTAAGTTGATCTACTAAATTTGTATAAATTAAAAGTACGTAAGCTATTATTATGAGTGTACGATCAACACTAATGGCCTTTAATCGGTGTTTTTTGATCTGCGGAATGGGTAGTATAAACTACAATCAAGGAACGTTTAAAATGACGATGATATTTTATATCTTACGATTTACATTAATTTGTTGTGGATTCAAAACATTTTACGAAGCAAATATTTTGGTAAACTATAATATTATAATTTATATTTAATTCAATTAAATGCATGCATAGGCAAAACACACTCGAAAACTGCCGATCTATAATTACAGGAAGCAGCACAATTCACTTAAACAATTTTTTGTAAAATCATAACTAATCTACAGTTAAATAATGAAGTTTGGAAACACAATATGTAAATTGGAAATTTTACGTAGATGTTATACTCTATTTTATTTATTGTGCACTTTAAAAAATTCTAAACTTTTGAAATCTACTTACATATGAATAAAAAAAAATGACCTAATGAGTAAATAATTATCTATATAGTAATTTAAGAGTGTACTTTACCATTTACTAAGTGTGTTGCCGCCGCAACATAATAATATAATTGAAAATATTTACCTAATTCAAATTAAATATAATATAGGACATCGGCCATGGGGGAACAGCTGGTCACACACACACACTCACATATCACTATTTTGTATTGTTTTGTTATTGTAATAATTATCGTTGAATGTGTCTTGTAAGTTATATAATTTTTAGATAAAGCCAGAGCGTTATAGCGTTATCGTACGCCGCCGAATATTATTTTAATGCGGCCGCCGTGATTTTGGCTTTTACCGTACTCTGTGGTGTCAAGACCGGCCGGCTTGTAAAATTATTATTATTACAATATTATATTCCTGTTTACATTTTGCTCCAAATTTCTATAGTGTTTCATTATATTTCTTGTCGTGTCAGTAACTTATACTTTTTTTCCATTGTGAGCCATAAGGGCCATTTAGTTCATCATTTTTGTTCGAGTGTTCGAGTATACGGCTCGTATTGGATGCTGCCGTATCAGCATAACCATGCATTTACCAATTTATTATTATTGTAAGCCATAAGGGCAATTTATACTTACCTATATTATTATTATCATTATTATTATCTTTTTCATTTGGGTGTACAATTTGTCACTGTGTGAAGCAGACGTTCTATTATTTATTTATTTTATATAATTTATTATAATTGTATAGCATAGGACCAGCTGGCCAGCCTGCGCTCCACAAACTGTGAGTTTTTCGTTATTATTTATTATTACATATTGTTGAGTGTTGGGTCAAAAAGGCTGTATATCATTTATTATTATTATTATTATTGTGTTGGGCCAGAAGGGCCGCATATTATTTTATACGAGCTTCAGCTCAAATAACTGCGTCAATTTATATTTAATTTCGGTTTTTCATAAGGGCCGGTCATTTCTTATTATTATTTTCTTTATTTTTATATATTTTTGGACCAGAAGGGTCACATTATTTTTATAGTGGCTCAAATAACCTTTTTATATCATCGCATTATTATTATTATTTCGGTTCGGCCAGAAGGGCCATTCAATATTATATTTTATCCTAGTTGGCCATAATAAGGGCTGTGATTTATTATTATTATTGTATCTTTTATACATTTGTGTTGCAGTGAGTTTTATTATATATATGTACTGCTATTATTTAAATTAGTGTATTATACAGTAGCTTACTTTACTTACCAGAAACCGTGTTACCATTTTTTATTATTTTTGTATACACATAATTACACATACACATAATTACACAACACGCACTACATAGCCAACAGTATTGCTAGGCGATCCCGACCACTACTGTTTGAGCTATTACACCATTACACACCCAGCTTGTTCTCCATATTTATAGGACTTAGGACACTTAGGTGTTAGTGGTGTAAAGACCTTAAGTTAGTGTCCGGGCGCGCGTATTATTATTGAACGCTCCCGGCCCGTACAAAGTGTGTTAGACATTATTGGATGTGTTAAATTTTAAATCAATGATAAATCATTGCATAGGAAACCGATTCTAAGTGAATAAGACAATCACCATTTCTTAAGATATTTTTAGATTTGATTTTATCACATTTAACAATTTCATTTTCTATAATTTTCATAGTAAAATTATCTTATTTTTGACAAGAAAAATTGAAAATCATTAAGTACCTATTGTAATATTTAATCTTATATTATTGCTGTTGACTTATTGTTCATGACTGGTAGTACCTATCTATTATATAAAGGTGTGACTAATATTGCAATTAAGAACACCTAGCTTAAATGTACACTAAATTGTTTGAATACCGTATTGTTTATATAAAATAATAATATATTATATTCATGTAGTTATGTAATAATATTTTACAGGCAACATTTTTTGATCTGTTCATGTTTGACATTACATCAGTAATAATGATGAGTATTTTTGAAATAATTTGGTTTGCAAAAGTAATATCCCATGTATGGCGCATATTTTTTGATAATCAACTATCAGTGGTAATGACTAAACTTGAAGAAACTCACGATAAATTAATACATTTAAATGTGGTGAGACCATTGAAAATAAAAATGAAATGGTTCGTCATACCTGGAATTATTGTGCATTTAATATCAAGTTCTATAATTTTGATCAGATTGCTTATACTGAAATGCTTAAGCAGGGAAACACAAAATAATATATTATCACTGGTAATAATCTTCATCTAAAATTATTAGATAATTTATTTTATTGCTGTTATAATTAATACATTACTCGTTGTTCCTTTTAGTCGTCCGTGTTTTTCGTTAATCAAATAAATGTTAAAATTATAGTTTTTAATCAACTTTTAGGGATAGAGTATACATTTAATTCATTCATAATTTAAATATATTTTAGGTAACTCAGATGGTTACAAATATATGTGAATGTGTAGCATTTTATGAATACATACTACTAATATTCTACATACAGTGGATGGTGTACATTATAAATGAACAAATTCTGTTAAGATATTCAACCATAAGTACCTCCAGAGATATGTATTTGGAAGTTGTAGAATGCTTGAACGATATCAATAGATCAATATACGGTTTGCCAGCCATAATGGGTTTCATTTCGGCAAATGTTGGTGATACGATTTTTGTATTGTACTCTCGTATTATTTTTACTCCAACGGCTCAAGCACTCAGAGATGTTTTTGTACTCAATATCATAACACTATCAACTAAACTATTTAATGTTATACTATTATACGCAATTGGTTTAGCTACGGAAAAAGAGGTTTTTATAATATATTTTACATGTTAAAACACTATTTTTAAATAATGAATGTCTATTCGTATTCTGGTATTCAACACATGTGTATTTCGCTTATATATTAATAATAAATTATCTGAATTTTAAGGTTCGGCCATATACACCCGTCCTTCCACATTTTAAGTTTTTAATCTTGTAGTATAATTATTCAATTATAGTTAGTTATTATTTATTATATACCTACTATACCTACTCGTCTCTATAATATCTTGGATTCATATTCGTTATTATTATTGAATAAGACAAAACTATTTGGGTAAATTAACATTAACTACCTAAAACATAAGGGATTAATTAAAATTAATCATCAACATTAAAAAATCGGGTAAGTGAATGTCCCTCTACTATACAGTAGGTTACAGGTGGGTCAATGTATAATGAATTGTACTAAACTTGAATTCAATGATATAAGTATAACATCATTGTATAAGAAAAACGATTCTGAACGGGGATGCGTGGTTTGTCAGTCAAGATTTTTTATATTGTTATTGTTTATTAGCGACTGTTAGTTGAATTAATAATATTATAATATTATTTTTTTTTTATTCGTTCCAATAGTGATAAATAAAGCGTTAGAAATTAAAATCCCATTTTTAGCGGTTTTTCGTAACTTGTCGGTAGTTTTTCTCGATGCTTTCTAAAGCTACTTGGAATTTTCAATTTTGACCTCCCAAAATTACCAACTAGGTTCACTTTTCTATCAAAAAAGATGCTGATCTCAAAAATCGAAGCACGCTTACTATCCAAAATGTTGCTGACAGACAGAAAAAAAACACACATCATTGGAAAACCAATAGATTCTTCCGCTCAGAATTTAAAAATAATTAAATACCTAGTGCTTAATATAGAGTTTTATGATTTTAAGAAGTGTTTACCTTGTGTATTTATTTTATTTTAAACTTACTTTTTGGATTACAGATAAATCGGATGAGCCTTGTCTTACACCAACGGTCAGTGATAGAAAGAAACCCTAGAATAAAACGTCAGGTATAAATGTACTTATTAAAATATGAATATTAGGTTAGCTGCAAATATTTTATATTTTTATGGAATAACTTGTTTTTATTAATATTTAGATCAAGTTCTTTATCCTACGAAGATTGCACGAACACTATCATTTTGAGGTGTGTGGAATATTTGAGATTAGTCTGAGAAAATTATTATTTTTATTAAACAAAGCAGTTGCTTATTTATTCATACAAATTTTGTTCAGATTGAATAAAGATAGAATAGAAACTATAAGGAAAATTAATTAATTAGTCAGTTGATAATTATTTTATTAATATATTGTTATGATATTGCAGTCATTATTTCAACTTGATATTTACATTATTTAAATTTACCTTTAAATCAAGTTATAAGTATTAAAAGTTAATAAAATTATTTAAAGATATTGAATAAATTCTTGTTATTTTTTTTTAAAAAATTTCCTTTATCAAGTTTATTATATACTTTATGTAGTTATACATTTTTCGTATTGTCATGTATTGTTTAGTTAGTATTATTACTATTTATTAGAAAAAATTACTAATTTATAATATCTGGTACACTTATGTAATATTATAGTTTAAAGTGATGTTTAACAAACAAAAGTATCATTATAATGTGAGCCATTAGATATTATTTCATTGCCTGCATTTGTCACCGTATACATTTTTAATTCCTTTTTAAATTAAATATTTCAGGATCGAAGCTAAACAGTTTAAGTACTCAGTAGTTATTGTTCCAATCAGAAATATGTTTAAATATAAGACAACTATATTTGTAGTGATTGGAAGAGTAAATTTGACTGGTTATCTTCCTAGTATCTATTCATCAGTCAATTGTCATTCAAATAAACTAAGTTTTTATGTATGGGAAAATTAAATGCTATATCTGGTGTCCATATATTATTTATAACTGTATGCATTTCACTATGAGACAATACACGGTAAACAAAACATATTATGTCATTAGTTCTTATATTAACTGAAGTGAAAGATGAAGAAGGTATACAGGTTTCACTGGTTTCGTGAGTCTTAATATTGAGATCATTTTTAGATGGTGTTGAATTTTCTATAGTAGGGTCTGTTAGTTTTATTTTATAAAATACAAAATTGATATTTTGATCACTTGATTGTATTTGTTAAGTAATAGTAGTAGCTAGTATTATGTAGTGTAGAATAAACATTAAATACTAAACAGTAAGTCAGTAACTACGTATAATAATGTTTTCAGAGTTAAAGCTTAAAGTTAGGTAATGTATTTTATGCGTAATTGTATAAAAATAATGCAGTATTGTTTAATATGCTTACCTTTACAACAAATTTATCCATAGTTAAATCTTAAAAGATAGTTGATGCGCGTATAGTGTAAGTTGCACTGTATGATACTAACTGTAACTATCAAAAAATAAAATGAAATACTATGACGATCCACATATTATCGTAATATCGTATTATCGTATTATCGTATCGACCGGCGTGCTGGCGTCGTTGCTTTTTGGACGTCGTTATCGCTGTTTTTGTCGATTTTATAATTGGTTATTATTTCAGTAATAGTTATCGAAGCCTAGCTATGATTAAATTGTTATCAACGATAATTTTGTCGACTTGTCGTACTATATAATTTATTATTCGTATCAGTTTGCCGAAAGTCTCTTATCGCAACAATTTTCCCAAAACAAAATACCAATGTAAAAAAAGATTTTTTTGGGGGGGGAAACCCCTTAGAAGTCAGTTCCTCTCCCATCATGCCAAAATTCAACCCTGACCAACTCATCGCCAAATTAGCGAACAATTCTTTCCACATTCAGGCTGTGAACATTGAAATGTTTAGGATCACTCAAAAACTATTGACAGATACCCAAATTGTAAAAACCTAACCATACGTTTTCAGTTTCAACGAACAGACAACTAAAAGTTATATTGTGTGGTGTACCAAATTTCTACTCCAAAAGTGAAGTTCAAACAGAACTTGAATTACAGGGCTTTCAAATCTCTGATATCCATCAACTCTTCAACGATGGTAGCAAACTCCACATTTTTATGATTATTCTTCCTAACTCAAAGGAAAGTAAGTTAGATTTGATATCCAATATGTATTCTACATAAGTATTAAAGTAGAGCCATACAGGAAATCAGGTCCTGTCCAAAGCTTTTCATTTCAACGGTTTGGTCACTCCAGCTTACACTACGGGCAAGTAAAATTTAATTACATTTTTAAAAGAACAAATATTAATTTCACATACAAATTATAAATGTATTCATAAGTAAATAGTTTGACGCATCTACCAATAAGTTATTAATAACACTCAAGTTATCAACATATACAGCCTACACAAAATATAATAAAATATCAGTACAATAGAATACAAATTGCATTGAATAATATATAAATTGAGTATTAAGCATACATTTAACAAAATTATATTTGCTTTTAAGTTTAACCTTTTTCCTAATAATTATTTTTAATTCGCTGTGAAGTATACTACACATAATATGTACCCTTATAAAGTTAGCAGCACAACTATGACAGATACATATACAATAGTTTTAATTCAGTTAAAATCAGTTGATAAACAAATAAACTCCATAAATCCAAAGACACTAACTATATTAACCTTTTTTTATACTTAATTAGTAAATAAATGTAATTATGAGTGTGAGATCAGTGTTAAAAATCAAAAGAAATATTTGTGATATTGGTATTATAAAATTCAACCAGGGTAATTTTAAGACGACTCTGATGTTTTATGTCTTGCGATGTATAATAGGTAATTTATGCTGGTTTGGATGCCCTCTACAAAATAAACCTATTTGTACTAATACAATATATAATTTTCTTTTTATAGTTTCATTTGATAAACCATAAATTAAAAATTAAAAATGCATGACGTGGATAACTAGGTCACTCTAATTTTACAATGCTAATATTACTTTCCATTATTTTTTGAGTACAGTTTATAAATGCATGAATTGTTAAAACTAATTTCTAACAAACGTGTTAAGTGGGTTCATTTTCTTTCTTGAAGAACAAATAAAAATAATAAAAGGATTATATCAATATGTATCTATATATTATAATATGATGTAAAAATATTTTAAATTGTAAAGATGACATTTTATTTTATAGGCAATGAAAACTGGTACAGAAATGTCTGAACTAACGTCTATAATAATGATCTGTTGTTTTGAATTAATTTTTATTGGAAAATTCGTATCATATATCTGGCACATATTTTTCGATAATCAACTACCCATTGTATTGACAAAACTTGAAACGTCTTTGTAATAAATAAAAGTGTATACGTCTGAAGGGGGTCAGCCCGATAAAAATAAAAATGAATTAGATTTTCACTATTAGAATTATTTTAAATATGGGAGTTATGGTTTCAAACTTATGGATGATAAGTCTTAACCAATATTTTATAATACTGCAAATTCATTAAAATATTATATAAATATTTTATAAGTTTATAACTAGTTTTTAGGGTTCCGTACGTTTCCCTACGGAAGCCTTATTACTTTCGCTCGGTTGTCCGTCCGTCCGTCCGTCTGTCGCCAAGCTGTATCTCATGAACCATGAAAGTTAGAAAGTTGAAATTTTCACAGATTATGTATTTTCATGGATGCTATAACAACAAATACTAAAAAAAGGGATTAGAGCAACCCCGGGGGGTGTTAAAACGGGAATTTTGAGCTTTCAGATGGAAATTTTTGTTTATAAATAGTTACCACGAGTGACGTCGTATTGTTAATAAATTGTTGCCTTGAGTGACGTCGTATACAAAGATTCGTTTTATAAATTTCAATACAGAATTATAGTGAATCGTTTTAAGTTACAAAATTATACAGTCCACTGTTATTTTCCTGAACAAGTACCTACTGTTGAGGAGAAACTGCTGAAATTCAGATAACAGATATGGGGTCTAGGACATTTCGCCGCGACCGTTTCGCCGCCACACCGTTTCGCCCCTGACTTTTTCGCCGCGGACTTTTTCGCCGCGAAGGGCTAACCTCCCCACAAAATATTAATAATATCAATTATGTACCTACCTATCATTTAATATAGGTATAACAATAGGCATTAGGTACAAAGATTATACAATTTTTTCAAACCTCACCCACCCGAATATTTCATGCGTTTATCCCCGATTATCACATTTTTGATTTTGAAACATAAATTTCGATATGTTTCTCAATTAAAATCAGATACATTTTATCACCCCTCCTACTGGAATTCGCAGCTTTAATTTCCGTTTGTGTATAAATGCGCAGCTCATAGGCATGCTCGCGGGGGTGGAGCCATTCGCTTTCAGTGCTTGCACTCTGTTGGGCCGGGGGCAAACGCTTTTATTATAGAATCCATAATAAATAATAATATAACAAAGTCCCACAAAACAATACTTTTCAGAAAGAAAAAATAACAACATATTTTGTAGGTATACGTTCACGGCTTAATGGCACGTGACAATAATTATGAAATTATTATCTAGGTATATGATTTTTAATAGACATGCAAATGACAAATGTACCTACAACTAATACAATATCCTGACCGTTTGATGTAATTATTAGTTCGTAATATTTAGCCTATATTGCTTTGTTTGGCACTACAGATATTTGATAACCTCCTATGTACTTCCCACGGGCCACGTAGGTACAAATCCAAAATTGAACTTTATTCATATTTGTTACATAATGCATACCATGTAAGAAAAGGCACTATCAACTATTTAAATAACTAAGACTAAAAAAAAAGGTTTGTTTCAAAATAAAAATTATACAATATTATTAGAAACTTATTTTATCGTGAATTGAGCAAACTCATGCACTTAATAAAATTATATGCTACAAAGTCAAATTAGAGGATTCAGCCGTATTAACTATTAACATATTAGAACAAATTAGGTCAGGATTGGTAGGTATACTCTGGAATTATTAAAACAACATTGTTAAATCATTGATTGTTACATAATTAATTATTAATTTAATTGATTAATATTTAATATCTAGACACGCGGTAGCGTGTCAAGCCAAGTTCTAGCTAACAGAACTGGCGAGCAGCACCATGTGTAATAATATTACACGAAACATTTGGAGCCACTTTTGACCCCCTCATAACTCAAAAACTATTCCACATAAACATGTCAAATTTGGCTCATATATTGAGACTAACGAGATACATATGTGCTCTAAATTTCATAAACACACTTCAAACCGTTATTTAGATATTAACGTCCGAAAATCATCATTTTTATCACTGACTTACCTAT